AAAAAAAAAAAAGCTTCTGTGAAAGACACTGTGACACTGTCAAGGGAATGAAGACAGATACGGACTGGCAGAAAATATTTGCAAAAGAAATGTGGAAATCTAAAATACACAGAGAACTCTTAAAACTCACCCATAAGAACATGAAAAACTGGATTATACGATGGACTAAAGACCTTAACAGACACCTCACCGAAGAAAATATACAGAAGTCAAATAAGCATATGAAAATATGCTTATTTCATCAGGAAAAATGCAAATTAAAACAACATTAAGATACCATTACATACCTGTTTCAGATTTTGTCCATTCTAATAACAGCAAATGTTAAGCAGGATGTGGAGTGGTAGGAACTTTCGTTCATGCTGGTGGGAATGCAAAATGGTATAGCTGCTTTGTAAGACAGTTTACCAGTGTCTTACAAACTAAATTTATTCTTACCATATGATCCAGCGGCTAAGATTTCTTGTTATTTAACCAAATGAGTTGAAAACTTACGTCAACTTAAAAACCTGCACATGAATGTTTATAGCAGCTTTCGTAAGTGCCAAAACTGGAACCAACCAAGATGTCTTAGTAGGTGAGTATATAAATAAACTAGAATACCAAGACAATGAAATATTATTCACTGCTAAAAAGAAATTAGCTATCAAGTCACCCAAAGACATGGAGGAACCTTAAATGCCTATTACCATGTGAAAGGAACCAATTCGAAAAGGCTACATACTGTACGATTACAATTATGTGACATTCTTGAAAAGACAAAACCATGGAGACAGTAAAAGGATCAGTGGTTGCAAGGGTTTCAGGGGGAAGAGGTACGTATAGGTGGAGTGCAGTGGAATTTTATTTACAGTGGTGAAACCACTCTGTATGATACTACATTGGATATATGTCATTGTACATTTATGAAAATCCATAGAATGTATAATACCATGGATGAATTGTAAGGTAAACTATAGGCTTTGGGTGATAATGATGTATCAGTGTAAGTTTACACATATGCTGACACATAACACTGTGTTGCAGGGTTTTGATTGTAGCAGAGTCTGTATATGAGGGCTTGAGAGTATATAGTAATCTCTGTACCTTCTGTTCCATCATGCTGTGAACTTAAAACTTTTCTAAAAGTCTTAAATGTGGAGGGGAAAAAAAAAGAATGCATGAGTACTAAATTCTTTTGAGACCTTGAATGCTAGGAGAAATTCATATTCTACCCTCAAACTTAATTAATAGCTTTTCTGGGAGTAGAATTTTATGTTGAAAATCATTACCTTAAGAATTAGGAAAAAAATTATTTCTTGTTTTAATTTTCATTGTTTCGGCTAAGAAGTTCTAGTCCATTAGGATTCTGGCTTCTTTGTAAGAGAATTTTTGTTGTTGTTAATTTGGTTTGGTATGTTTTCATCCATTAGCTTCTATAGTCCATAAATTCTTTTAATTTGGAAATTCATGTTCATTTCTGGACTATCTTGAATTATTTAAATTGTCTTTACCTACTTTTTTCTTTTTCGTTCTCTTTTTATTTGGATATTCGACTTTGTGGATGAGTCACATAATTATCTCTCTCTCTCATTTTCTATCCTTTTAAATATTACCCTGTCCTCTTTGATTACAAATACTTTATCTTTTGGGGTCTATTAACAATTTTTAAAAATGGCAGTTTCTATTTCCTCCAAAATGCTTTATTTTTTGCCTTTTTGACCTTATCTTTCACGTTACAATCTCTTCTTGGGTGTCAGCTAAATTTTGGGTTTTTGGCACATGTGTAACTGTTGAGGACTGGTTGGACTTGGTGAGTTTTGTAGGCAGGGCTTGTTGACTCTGAACTCCCCTATAACATGACTGGGCTGGACTGTGTATTTTGAGCACCTCCAGTAATTGTCCTTATAGCTTCTGCCTGTGGAGAAGGCTGTTTGACACTGTCTTAGGAGACCAAATTTGGGGAGGCAGATGGTTCTTGGTGTCTGTATATTTCTGATGTGATCAGTGACATCACTGTGACACCCCCCCCCATGCTGGATAATAAATGTCAAATATTTTGTGCAATTACTCATTCTTTTTTTTTTTTTTTTTCTTTTGCCACCCGTTAATCTGCTTCATACTCATTCTTTATTAACTTTCTTGACTGAAAGTATCATCTCACTGGTTGCTTTCTGTTGGTTCCATTTGTTCTTTGTTCTTTTTCTCACTTTTCTGCGTGCCTTTGGATTAACTTAGCATTTTTTATGATTTCATTTTATTACTAGTTATCTGTGGGATTTAACCACGTGTTAAAGAGAATTCCGTACATTCATCTCACATACTAATAGGTAATACTGTGTAGATGATGGAAATACAAAGCGAAGGAAGGTTTACCAAAGCTCATCTCAAGGTATTTGAATGTAACTATTATTGATAATACTCTACTAAAAATGAAAAAGGCTAGAAAATACGTCATGTTCTGTAGTTCATCAAAATAGAAGATGTTAACTGTGACTCTTTTGGTCAGATAGGAGCTCTGTGTATGTTTGGTTAAATTTTCTTCAGTAATTCTGCAAACCATTACAGTTAAAATTTTGTAACCTTCAGTACAATAAAACAGCTTTAGATGGCATATTCATATTTGTTGACTTCCAGCAGTCTTTACACGGATATGCTCTTTCTAAAATGCAAATCTACCAAATGCCTCAAATGTTTGTAACTTTGCATGGCACCTTTTGCCTTAAAGATAATCCCCCTCCTCCAGTCTTATTTAGATTTTAAGATAGAGGTCAGAGATCATTTTCCCTGATAGGTTTTTCCTTATGTCCTCACATAGAATGAAGTATTTTATCCATTGGGCTACCTCTGGACATTCTTCTATTGCTGCATCTATTACATTCTGCTGCAAATTATTTGTTAGAAGTCAGCCTCCCCTTCTAGACTTGAGTTCCTTGAGGACACATTACATGTATAATTTACCTTTATATAGCAAGTACTTAATACAGAGCTTAGAGAAAGGATAGACACTCTGTGAATATTATCCAGCTGAATTATATTATTGCTTGGTTATTTTGATGGTTCAGCTTAAAGTGCTAAAAGATGTTATCTATATTTTACTGAATCTATGAAGAGACCTTCACGCTTTTTCTCACAATGAAAAACTGAACTATTTCCATGTTTACAAACAAAATATAAATCATTAATGAGGATTTACTGATATCTTAAATATTAAAATCAATGAGAGAACTGTGGCCTGCAGCTGTCTTTATACAAATAAAAGATACAGGATTTAGATTTTATATATATATATATATATATATATATATATATATATTAACAGTTCTGATACAGTAATCCTAAGCTATCCTTTCAGGCATTTTATAAACATGTTTGGAAGGGTAACTTATGAGTAAAGGAAACAAAGTATCATACTATTTGACATCTGAAACTATTGAGGAAGCTCAAAACTCTTATGGTTATAATATTCCTATTTATTCAGTTTGTTATGCTTTTAGGGTGGGGGGGTTATTTTATAACTTAATCTATAGCTGATTAGTGTGAGTTCTCTAGTCTCTTCTGTTTGCAATTGATTATGAAATAAAAGGCTTAGTTTTATTTAAAATTGTATTTTAACTTTTTTTTCCCCCTCCACCAGTGTAGTGACTATGACTTGGAATTTGGAACTGAGTGTTTGCAATTGGCTCTAAAATACTGTCACACGAAAGCTAAACTTGTAGAAGGATCACCTGATCTCTGGAAGGTAAGATGAGCCTTTGCTAGGGCTCTTCTCTGTGCTGGTCCATATGTGTGTGTGTGTGTGTGTGTGTGTGTGTGTGTGTGTGTTCATGTGAGTGCATTTAAAAACGATAGAGTACAACGGGAGTTAAAGGACACTCACTGGGTTTATGGAGCCATCAAAATGTACCATTTATATTGCTTGGCTTCAAGAAAATTCACTTTGCGATAATTCAAGGAAATTCCATTTCATAGTCCATAAGATTGGTTTATTAACTTTTTTCCTCTAGTTCTCTGTGGATAACCTTTTATTCTGTTCACTCAATGGGATTAAAGCTACAACTCTGCCTGCAATATTAACATTTCCTTACAGGCCCTGGGGTGGTTGCTCCAACTTATGTGAGTTGAATGGGTATCTGCTACAGTTCTGACACAGCGGGGTAGTAGCTGGACCCACCTTCTCCCCCTGACCCCCCATGAAGAACTGGGCTCTTTTCTGTGGCAAGGCCCAACTCTTCTAATGGCAAACTCATTTCCTTTGGAAGGTATGCAGTGGTTGTTGCAAACAAGGTAGTAGCATTACCATACTACAGCTTCTTTTTCAGGCCAGAGGTGTTTTAGAGTATGCCTCCCCTTTGTTTCATCAAGTAGAAATGAGTTGAATTATTCCGAAATAGAATTTTTGGATTATTTCATAATTTTGAAACAAGTATTGCTGCTTTTGAAATATTGTAATCTTTGGAAATATTTATTAAACATCTGCCAACAACTGAGATAGTAAAGATTCATTCTAACTCTGAGATTATGAGTCTATATGCATATTTCCTCATTGATTTGAAAACAGAAAGCCCTATAATTTGATTAGGTATCTTGCACAGTAACATGATGGGCCTTGCTGTATGTTAAGATTGTCTTAGACATACTTAAACTGTTGAATTCCAAGATTTCAAAATATTGTCAGGCTTGGATTATTGCCTGGTAGAGAAAATTCCTGCAGTGTTATTGCTCATTTAAGGATATCTAAATGTCTTCAGTCCAGAAGGCAAACATTTTATTTGGATTATCCTTTTCTATATATGTCTTATTGGTGATATAGATATTAATTATGAAGATTTTGGCAATTACCAATTAGGGGTATTGTTAAAGACACCGACCCACATCTCTGTAGAATCCCTTTGACTGTCTGCTAGATTTAATTTGACAGCCAAGTAAAAAAGTGGAAACTGTGAGGCATTTTATTGCTATTAACGTGTCAGTGCTCTCTGGCCTCACTTTGACATCTTTGGGGGTGTGATAATTTACCTCTTGTGAGTGTTATGAGCCTTCATCAAGTTTGTAAAGCACTCTGAGTTCTGTGGATGGAAAGGGAAGCAGCACATAACTCTTTGAATTTTCCACTCCACATCTTCACTTTTTTTCTTTTTTCTTTTGTTAAATGCTCGTATTTCACTGTTTTCTCCAGTAAGAGAGTGTTAGTCATCAGGTACCTATCAGCTCTCTGTTTCCCTTCTGTGCACTCTGACATGATTGGCCTTTCCAGGGCGCTTCTCTTGGTTCCACTAGTGAGTCACTTCACACATGCTGTCATGGGTTGAATTGTCCCCTAAAAGGTGTATTGGAGTCCCTAAACTCTGGCACTTGTGAATGTGACCTTATTTGGAAACAAAATGAGGTCATAATGGAGTAGGGTTGGCCCTAAATCCAACATGACTGATGTTGGTATAAGAATAGAAGAGACCTGAATGCAGGGAAAATGCCACGTGCTGATGGTGCACAGATTGGAGTGGTGCATCTACAAGTCAAGGAATGCCAAGGATTGCTTACAACCACCAGAAGCTAGGAAGAGGGTGGGGAGGATTCTTCCCCAAAGCCTTCAGAGAGAACACTGTCCTACCTACAACTTGATCTCTAACCGCTAGCCTCCAGAACTGAGAGAGAATAACTTTCTGTTCTTTTAGGTCCCCAGTGTGTGGTGCTTTCTCGGGAAACACATGCCAAGGGTGACATACTCTTTCAGGCCTAGAGAGATCAGGATCAAACTGGGGGGAAGCAGAGAGCCTTACTCTTATGAATGAGTTTGAATGGTGTGCCACAAAGAGACCTTGGCCTCTAATAAAAGGCCTACAATGCAGTGGATTGGGCAAAATGTCTTATAGATAGCCATTATAGGAGTTTTTTATTTTTCTGTTGGTATCATATTTTTTCTTTTAAGCGAGGTGAAACTATTTTGAGTGCAAATATTATAGTTTTCAGGTTCCCTATTTCCTTTTTTTGGTCTTTTGTCTGCTTTCAATCTTTTCAATATTTTCTGAGCTGATTACTTAGCCCCTTTTGCTAATATTGTATGATTCATCTTTAGTATAGGCTTTTACTTAAATTTTGTGATCTTATTTTGTATGACTAGAGAGAGTATTTTAATTGCCGTTTAAACCACACATTAGAATTTACACCTTGGCATTAATGTTTTAACGATACAGTAATTCTGAAGATGTTGCTATTAAAAAAATTGAATCTAAGAAAAGTTCTAGTACAGTTATGCTAAAACTGGTACTGGACCCAGGTGGCAGGGCCAAGTACCTAGAACATATTCAGAAACCTGACGCAGTGAAAGACACATTTGGACGTAATTGAGAGGCACTTCACCACTATAAAACAGTAAGGCAAGGAAGGATTCCGAAATATGAAACAGGATACCTTCTACTCTTCAGAAGTCAAGGAATTAACTCCACAGTGGTAAGGATGATTAGAAATTTCTGGTGACTGCACTTAGTGTTATTTCAATTGCCACCAGAAATTCCAGGAGGACTATTATTTTATATTTTACATACAAATTTTAGTAAAAGTAAATGCAAACAGTAAACATTCAGGATTGATGCCAGCCTTCTTGTGCTAGCTCCTCTGGGGTCTGGAGAAAAGATCAGTTTTTTTCAAATCACCATGAAGGATAGAGAACATCACCTTAGAATGACCACAGCACTCCCACCCTCTTCCATAAGAATGCCCGGCACTGAAGAGTACAGGACTGGCTTCTAGCAATCAGCTCTCATGCTTCCCTTTGGTAGTTGTGCCTTGGCAGGCCTTGGTAAACACTATTATTTTGATGAGATTTCATCTAGTCTACATAAGAACTTTAGCCCCTCTAATTTATAGTTGTACCATATCTTTGGTCCAATATATTTTTAATTATATAGCTTGGTCACTTACTACACTGTCTAGACTTAATTTGAATAGACTTCTTATTTCTAAATGTCCAAACCGTCTTTAAGGCATAGAAGATTTATAGTCAATTATTAAAGAAATTTAACAACTGTATTCTATTGTCTGAATACTTCTTAAGAAGGAGTTTCTGAAATGTTCGTATCATTGTTGCTATTGGGATAGATGACTTTTGAGGATTCCTTTTCATGGGGACTACATTTTTTAGATTCAGGTATTCTAGCATCTTTGTTTAAAAACAAAAGAAACAAAATAGTCTATTTGGTTTTATAACCTCAAAAGTACAATGTGGTGACATTTTCTTTTGAGAGATTTTCGTACAGTTATCCAGTCTCAAGAAAATATTTTCTAAATGTACATAATGAGATGGAAAAAATTCCAAAGGTATATATAGTAAACATTGTATATCTTTAAAATGTAAGTTCTTCTGGCTTTTTCTAATTATTGGAGTTACATATTGTGAGATGAAAGGTGGGAGAACATTAAGTGTAGTCTCATATAAGCTGGTGGCCAACTGGCATTGGCTCTGTTCTGAAAGGTCTGTTTTACTGTTTTGTGTCTCACTCAGCACACAAAGAGAAACAAAATGTAGATATGCTAATCTCTACCAGAGTATAACCTTGAGGTAGCCGAGAGAATCCTGGCCTAGGACTTCAGAAGACAATTATGTCTGTAGCTCTGAGCTTCAGGTTTCTCTTCTATTGAATTTTTTTTTTTTTTAGCTAAACACATTACTCAGATGAAATATTGCATAGAAGCTCAATTGAACAACATAGACAAAAATTGAACTGAACTAGGTGAGTATCAGATGTTGAGTTAGAGTCTCACCTGCACAGAGCACCTTTACTATTTTTCAGGTGGCCTCCGAGACTCTAGTGAGCACAGTTTGAAAACAAGTGAATTAGACATTTGCTTCTATCACTACAGGATTGATTTTCTTTTTTAAAGTAATTATTTTCCATAATAGAGTATTGTGCAAGATCAAAGGAAGACTACAGATCATGCTAACAGAACAAAATCACTTCAAAACTGATTGTTTAGGGTGTTATTTTTTCCCAATTAAAAATAAAGAAAGGACAACCCATATTACTGTAAAAGTTAAATGGAAAAATTGAATAACTCATCAATTCACAATTACAACACTTTCCAGTAACATTCCCTTTGAAGTATTTAGCTGTTTTATTTAGAAAAAAATATGGCTATTCTTAAAAAGATACTTTAAAAGTTTGTAAGAAATATTTTCTCTAGTTTATTTTTATTAAATCAATATTTGAGAAGTACAGTTGAGGTATGTAGAAGATGTTAAAAATCAAAAAAGCTTTAATCTGTGTACACACAGCTTATAGGGAAAAGGAGATGATAAATTTAAGTCTTTCTTGTTATTCAGTTAATTATTTAATATAAAAGGAGACAAAACCTTTGGATAATAAATGTATCTTATTCATACAACTGACTCCAATGTAAAAACTAAGTCTTGCAAGTATTCTAGAAAAGTCATTTTTGTATTTGAGAATAATTTTTCTATAAATTGATAAATCCATCATGATTTGTATGAAAAAATAAGGTACTTTCATAATTATTTTAACTTAAACTGGTGTTTTACCCCTTAAAGTAGGAGGGAGTAGAAAATGAATTGTGATAATTAGTCTTCTTCCCCTTAGTTTTTGTTCTGAGTTTACCTTCCACAGCAGATAATTATTATAGGAAAAACTTTCTCATTTACATTGCAAATGTTAGTAAGGCCTGATTTCAGATATCTAGTTAATTGGGTATTTTCAAAAAAAGAATTAAAAATTAGTTTTACTTTTACAAAAATAAAATTCTGAACTGTAATGTAGTCTCTACATGTTAAGGATTTTTATTCACTCTTTTCATTATTTTTAGCACTTTGAACGAGGTCTAGAACATAGTAGTTATTCAATCAATATTAGTTTGATGAATGAATGAGATCAATACATTCTTTCATGTGGTAAAATGCATAGCATGAACTTTTAAATGTCTATTTTTTAATCACTTTTTCTCCAGACAGTAGAATTGCATTTTTATCTGTACTATATCTACCATAATACTATGGCACTACTACTATAGTACTATGGTAGGTACAGTACTGGGAATCACTAGTTTTGGTTGCCATGTGCTTGTTTTAGAGATTATATAGTGTTTGACTTTTGATTTCATTAGATTGAATTACTTGAGCACCTTTCTGTCTGTGTTACCAAGTTACCTGCCACTTTAATTCTGGATAATAAGGTGTAGCTTTGGTACAGGATTTACCTGCCAGGATAATGGTATAGCAGAGGAATCTATTTTTCATAGAAGTGTGCTGGCCCACTTGTGCTGAACAAACTTTCTGTAGAAATCCAGTAATGAGGTAATCTAGAGGAAAAAAGTTCAATTTTATAGGCGTGGTAAGGTATCAATGTGGTGAGCATTTCTCAAAATGGGTTTTTAGACCATCTGCATCATAGTCATCTGGGTGCTCGAATGTAGGTTCTATCACCTTGTAGTGCTTATTGAAGAGCTGTTTTGTTATTCACCCCATCTTTCAGCTCTGTGATGTAGGAGAACTAATTTTGCAATGCAATGCACTTACATGTTCTGTACTTGAGCTCACTGGATGGGGTCTGGGAAGTATCTGCCATACATACACGCCATGGCAGACTACATTACAAGGAGCAGGTTACAATTACAAGGAGGCTGTGTGTTTTTAAGGAAAGGTCATCATTGTTCTTAGGCACACATTGGCGCCCTGTACGCTTTTTCTATTGGAGCCATGTTTTAATAAAATCTTACAAGGCAAATCTTATCTGGGTACATACAGATATACTCAATTCAGAAAGAAGTCCCTCTTAATGTGGATTGATCTTTGAGAATTATCTCATTTCAACTGAGAAGGCAACTTGGTGATTGTTGTACAGAGATTTCTTCCCTCCATCCTTTCCTTCCTTCTAATATAAAATGTTATTATTAAATAGTAATGTTAATGCTTTTATTTGACCACTACCACATTTTCTTTGATTATAATACTTAAGTTATATTAAGGTTTCAGTAAC